TATGTCTGAATGAAATTTATATAAATAAAATATAATTAAGCTTCATTAAAGAAGAATAACTTAAATTATTCTTAAATAAATTTTAAAAATTTATCTCGAATGAATCTTTTGAGTGTTTTAATCCTTTTAATTTTCAATTCGATATTTTGGAGTTTAATTAATTCTGTTAAAGACAATAAAAATCAAAATGAGCTTGAGGAAACATCAAAGGATTTAAATAAAATATTTAATGATGAGGCTCATCAAAATCAAAAATATAAAGAAACATTAAAACCAAAACCAAAAATTACTAAAATGTTCAAGAATGAAAATAAGTTGGCAGAAAAAATGATAAAGAAAAAAGAATATCACAACGACTATTACCAAAAGAATAAAGAAAAGAGGAGAGAATCTGATCGAAAATATCAACAAAATAATAAAGAAAAAATAAAAGAAAGGAGGAATTCTGAAAATTATAAAAAATTTAAAAAAGAATATGATCGAAACTACTACTATAAGAATAAAGAAAAGAATAAAGAAAAGAAGAGAGCTTCGTGTCGAAAATACCGAGAAAAAAAGAAAAATGAAATTTCAAAATTAAGAAATATTCAATCGGAAATTAATGAAGGAACTTCTTTTGTTAATCAACAGACGGATGATTGTGTAAATAATTTAACTGGACAACCAAATAGTCAATCGGCTGATGGCCTTCATACTCAACAAATGGATGATCATGATGATTTAATCTATCAGAGTATGTTAGAAGATTCGGATTTTTTGGATTATCTAAATTCTATTCTTAATTCCTGAACACATTTCAGATAAACAAGTGGATGGATTTTAAATAAGAAAACACAAAAAATATATCTTCCCTTTCTCTATATTTATTTTTCCTGGACTACAAAATGATGTCCAAATACTTTTTCATATTTAATTTTCTTAATTTAATTTTCCTTAAATTTTTAATTGAAATTGTTTCGATAGATAAGACAAAGAATTTTGATAAATTTCTAAATAAATGTTTGCAATTTCCGGATAATAAATCCGGTGTTATTAATAAAAGTTAATCTTTCTTTTTTTCTGAAAAATGCGGAAATATATAGAGTAAAAAATAAATAAGAATAATAATAAAAATAATTTTATTTTATTAAAATATTATTATTTTTAAATTTAAAAATAAAAATATTAATGACCATGATTATTTTTGAGTCTGTTAAATTGATTAAATTTGAGAAGTTTGACTTCCATAATAAGAACAATCAAAATTTTATTATCGTTTTTCATGAATCATTTAAACTTTGAGATAGATTTATTTTGACTTGAAAATTTTTGATTACAGAAAATTAATTTTATGCTCAGAAATAAGGATTTTTTGTAGATTAATATGCAAAAAATCCTATATTAAATCTGAGAATTCCTGTGTGTTTGTTTGTCCGCAGCTTTAAATTTTGCTGTGTTTGTTGGCATTTTGTCGATCGGAGCACTGAATTAAGGCAATTTGAGGTACCTGTAAAACTAGAGCCCGGCAAAATCATTATTTGGATTCGAACCGGGATTTTAAAACTTATTTGATTGTTCCTACTTTCTTTTCGAATTTCATCATCATTACAGCCAATTTTGTACTTTTTAGAAGGATACAAATAAAATCAACACATAAGTAATTATCGAAAGTGCACTTATGATTCAATGAAATTTTTTGTTTTTTCCCATATATTTAAAAATTTAAAAAGCCATCCATGTCTATCAGTTGCCCTTTATGATTTTGAAAGATATTAAGTAATATTTAGATATATGTCTGAATGAAATTTATATAAATAAAATATAATTAAGCTTCGAATAAAGAAGAATAACTTAAATTATTCTTAAATATATTTTTAAAATTTATCTCGAATGAATCTTTTGGGTGTTTTAATCATTTTAATTTTCAATTCGATATTATGGAGTTTAATTAATTCTGTTAAAAATAATAAAAATGAAAATGAGCTTGAGGAAACCTCAAAGGATTTAAATAAAATATTAAATGATGAGGCTGAATCGTCTGTTGCTTCTCAAAATCAAAATTATAAAGAAATAGTAAAACCAAAAATTACTAAAATGTACAAGAATGACAATAAGTTGGCAGAAAAAAAGATGAAGAAAAAAGAATATCTTCGAAATTATCGACAAAAGAATAAAGAAAAACTGAAAGAAAAGAGAAGTTCTACAAATTTTAAACAAATTAGAAAAAAACATGATCGAAACTACTACTATAAGAATAAAAAAAAGAGGAGAGAAACTGCTCGAAAGTACCGAGAAAAAAAGAAAAATGAAATGGAAAATTTAATAAATGAAATTTCAAAATTAAGAAATATTCAATCGGAAATTAATGAAGGAACTTCTTTTGTTAATCCTGAGAATAATGATTTTATCAGTAAAGCTAAATCGACAAAATCCTCAGATAACTTAACTAAAATATTAAATGATGGAGCTGAATCATCTGTTAATCCTCAAAGTAAAAAATCTAAAGAAAAGGTAAAGACAAATAATAATTCTGAAACTAAAAATGATCAACCAGAAAAAAAGTTGAAGAGAAAAGGATATAATGAAAATTATTATCAAAAAAATAAGGAAAAAATATGTGAATATAAACGAAATTACGTCCGACGTATAAAAGAAAATTTAGAAAATTTACGAAAAAATAAATTAGAAATTGAGCAAAATATTAATTCAAAATTAATAAATATTCAGTCTAATGAAGGAAATTTATTACCTAATACTTGTAAAAGTAAGGAAAAAGAACCGATTGTTTCCAAAGAGAACATCCAGTTAGAAAAAGGAAAAGATGTGGATGTGAATGATAATGCTGAAGAAGGAGAAGAAATTCCTATTCAATCTTCTCATAATGTGGAAGGAAATAATAATTCTGAAGGAACTTCGTTTGTTAATCCACAGACGGATGATTGTGAAAATAATTTAACCTCCGATTCAATTGCTTGCCCTTATGGACAACCAAATAGTCAATCGGTTGATGGCCATCATACTCAACAAATGGACGATCATGATGATTTAATCGGTCAGAGTTTATTGGATGATTCGGATTTTTTGGATTATCTAAATTCTATTCTTAATTCCTGAACACATTTCAGATAAACAAGTGGATGGATTTTAAATAAGAAAACACAAAAAATATATCTTTCCTTTCTCTGGATTTAATTTTGCTTTCCTTAATTATTGCTGTATGGTACTATTCTACAAACAAAATTATGTCCAAATATTTTTTCATATTTATTTTTCTTTATTTAATTTTCCTTAAATTTTTAATTGTAATTGTTTAGATAGATAAGACAAAGAATTTTAATAAATTTTTAAATTAAATGTTTGTAATTTCCGGATAATATATCTGTGTTTTTAATAAAAGTTAATCATTTTGGTTTTCTAAAAAAAGATTTTTGAAATAAAAGTATAATTTATTTACTATACAAATCCTTTTGCGGAAATATATAGCGTAAAAAGAGAGATTATGTATAATGAATATAATTTTATTTTATTAAAATATTATTATTTTTTAATTTAAAAATAAAAAGATTAATGACCATGATTATTTTTGTGTCAGTTAAATTATATTAGAAAAGTTTGATATTTAAGAAAAATTAAAATTTTATTATTGTTTTCCATGAATCATTTAAACTTTGAGATAAATTAATTTTGACTTGAGAATTTTTGGTCACAGAAAATTAATTTTATGCTCAGAAATAAGGATTTTTTGTTGATTAATATTCACAAAAATAAGAACAATATTGTAAAAATAAGCTAATTTTTAATCAAAAGGATAATAGAAAATTGTCAGAAAATTAGATGGAAATTGAAAAAAATTGAATGGCAAAAAGTCATTTAAAATTAAATGTATTTTTAAATAAGTAAAGCTTCTCAATGACAGCTGGACAATAAATGTGTTTTTAATTTTAAGAAAAATTTTAAGTAAAATAAAGGAAAAATAAATAGTAAAAACATGCATAAAATAAGCAAAATGAAAAGAATATTTTTAAGTTTATAGTGTCAAAAAATTTTTTGTAAAGAAATAATTGACAGATGTATATATTTTTAAGTCAACAGTGAAATATATAGCCAACTTTTATATAGTCAAAAAATTTATTTCAGATGGTTAGGTATTAATTCGGTTAGAGAGTTTAGATTGCAGACAATATGGAAGCTCTTAACTGCCAGCAAATTATTATACATAAGTTTTTTCGATGCGAATAGCCTGAGCAAGGGGAGGCCAATGAAAATGGAAGGTAATAGTGTTGGATTTGCCTGTTATCCCTAAGACACAGTTCGGTACTACCGATGTACTACCGATAGTACCGACTCAGTACTTTTCGGTACTACTGGTATTGGTACGGTACTGATGAGATTTTGGAATTTTCGGTACTCAATCAATACCAGTACATTTCGGTAGTACTGGCAGTCGTATTGAAAAAATCCATTTGCCGAACACAAACACTGAACTAAACTTTTTTGCTAAAAATAGGTAAAAATATTTTTAGTTAAACACAATTTTAGGTAAAAATTTTTAAGAAAAATAATAATAATAAATATATTTAAATTAAATATGTATGTAGACAAGTACAAAAATGTCCCCCAAATTGGGCCTTAGGGAAATTTGATATTTCTGAGTAAAAAAAAGGAAAATTAAAGAAAAATGAAAAGAAAACATGCAAAAGGCCTCAACGTGGGAAACTAACTAAAAAAATACATATTTCCAAAAAATTAATTTATGGACAATTTATAAAAATGGACATTTCGTCCCAAAATAATTTTAGTTATTTTACTCACAAAAATTTTGTTCCTTTATTTTTATGCAATTCAAAGCATTTTAAAGGAAAGTAAAAACAAGTGGCTCTCTGACCCTTTTTCTTTTTTTGGCTAGCAGCGCCTTTCCCGCGGGAAAACCAATTAAGGAGCGTCTTTGGATAACAGACCCAAAAAATTTTTTCCCTTTTTGCAAAAAGTGAAGTTTTGCATTGATCCAAAATTTTTGGCAAAATCGAAGAAAAAAAGGGGCTTTTTTGGGGTACGAATGGAAAAAGTGGCAATTAGCTGGAAAAAATGACAAAAGATCCTTTAAAGCAAAGGAAGTACAAAAAAGAAGGGAGGGGGATGGATAGCTTGCAATGTGAGGGAGTTGACGGAAATAAATATCTGTTGAGTCGAGAAAAGTAAAAAGAATAGAAATTAATAAAACAAGGAAAATAAAATGAGAAAAAGGACAAAAAATAAAATAAAGGCAACATTAAATGAGTAGAAGCTAATTTAAAATTTTTAACTGGAGAAAGAAGTAAGATTATTAAAGTTTTCAGGTATCATTAGAAAAGTAGTATCTAAATAAGATTGATAAATTTTAACAATATTGGTTTTTTGTTTCTCATAAGAAATTTGCTAAATCTAAATAAAATTGAATTTCCGTTGAAAATTTTTGGAAGTTCTTAAAATCTTGATAATATATTTATTTGTATATTCAGTTAAATAATGATAGTAACAAGAATATTTTAAATAAGAATATTATCAAAATATCAATATTCTCAGTTAGGTTGATCCGACAATATAAATATAGATTTAGCTTAAGCCATATACTAATTGACGTATTATTTAAGGAAGTTAAAACCCCCTATGAGCGAATATTCAAACAAACTTTTTTAGAAATGGAATTAACAAGTTATGAGAATAAAGTTCAAATAAAAGAATAATTGAATCTTTATATATTAAGTAAATATTATTAGCTTAAAATTTTATGTCTATCTAGGAATTCTTGAGAAGGAAATAATAGATTTTATTAAATTTACGAATCGTTGAAAAAAAATAAAAAAAAACATTCGTCGTGTGTATTTAGGGAGATACTCTCCCTATCCAAAAATACTACATTGCGCAGCTCGAGATAATATTAACATGTCATATAATTTTAATTAAAAGTTTTAATATAGTTTTGCATATTAAGTACTACTGCAATTAGCTAAAAATTTGCTTTAAAAATTTAAATGGGTCTTTAAACAAGGGCTATCGAAATTTGCAGCGCGTTTGATGGAAGGAAAATGTGGAAAAAACATTGAGGGAACGCCGAATAAGTAACAAAATAAGGTAGGGAAAGAAGGCTAAAATAGAAAAGTAAGGAGGGATATGATGTGATGTTAAATAAAAAAAGACATGGAAATTTTCGGCTAAATTAAATTTTCTTATTTAGCCCAGAACATAAGGCTAATTCCTAAATATCAACAGAGGTATGGAAGGGAAAAGTTGAAAGGTAAGGAAATGAAAGCTAAGGAAAAAAGCGAAGTAAAATAAAGCGAAAGCGAATGAATAATCCTCCTGTCTGGAACCTATTTCCCGCACCCTGTATTATTAATAGCGTTTATACATACGAATCTTTAATTTCTGAAATATTCTTTATTTCAAAAACATAGTTCTTTTTTCCTATTAAGGGCTGAATTGATTGTTTTACAAATAAAGGTTTTTAAGGGATTTTAAAGACAAACCAGAAAGGCTGAGAGAAAGGCTTAATTCCCCGAGGAGATAAGAAGAGGGAAGAAAGAGGGTGGAGAGGTTGTTTTGTTAAAGATTGATCGTAAAAATCCAAAGGTATTTTTTGAAGGACTATAGCAATAAAATTTATTCAACAAAAATTTTTGTTGAGTAGTGAAGTAACAATATTTACATTTTTTCTTCAAATTTTCCAGACCGAAAATCGGTATTACCGCGTTACTGGAAAACTTTCGTTAGTACCGCGGTAGTAACGAGAAGTGTTTGTAAAAATTATTACGGAAAGCCTTAGACTTTGTAGTTAATATATTTCATTTAATTCAAATTAAATGACAGATTAAGAAAAGGAAAAAAATATTTTAAAAATTAACAGAGAATAGAAAGATGTTTAGTTTTGTTTTAAAAGTTTGAAAAAATTCATTTTATTATAGGAAATTCTGATTATCCAAAAAATTTAGATTATACAAAAAAATTGAGATAATCCACATCATTCATGTAATTCTCTTGGTTAATATGCTCAGTATGAACATTTTCTTGTTCATAAGGGCAATTCATTGAATTATCTTCATTTTCAACCTTTTGCTGATTTCCTGAAATTCCTTCATCATTGTGAGATAACTGTATTGAATTATCTTTTTGTAGGGGAATATTTCCTTGATCTAACTGAACGTCCTCTTTTGTAGGTTCTTTTCCTTTAGATTCACAATCATCCGTCTGTGGAATATCAAATGAAGTTCCTTCATCATTATCGTTTCCTTTCTCATTATGAGCTGATTGAATTGGCGTATCTTCTCCTTTTTCTGACTGGATATTCTCTTTGGAAACAATCGGTTCCTTTTCCCCACTATCACACTCGTTATTTTGTGTATTAGGTAATAAATTTCCTTCATTAGATTGAATATTTATTAATTTTGAATTAATATTTTGCTCAATTTCTAATTTATTTTTCCGTAAATTTTCCAAATTTTCTTTCATACGTCGTTTGTAATTTCGTTTATATTCACATATCTTTTCCTTATTCTTTTGATATCTCTCTTTATCATATTTCTTTTTCCTTAGCTTTTTTTCGTCTCTATCAACTTTAGGTTCATTTTTGGAAGTTGTTTTTAACTTTTCTTTGTCTTTATGATTTTGATGAGCAACCGATGATTCAGACCCATCATTTAATATTTTAGTTAAATTATCTGAGGCTTTGGAAGAATTATCATTCTCAGGATTAATAAACGAAGTTCCTTCATTAATTTCCGATTGAATGTTTCTTAATTTTGAAATTTCATTTTTTAAATTTTCCATCTCATTTTTCTTTTTTTCTTGGTACATTCGAGCAGTTTCTCTCCTCTTTTCTTTATTATTTTCTCGGTATTTTCGAACAGATTCTCTCCTCTTTTCTTTATTCTTTTGGTTGTATTCTAGTTTCTTTTCTTTATTCTTATAATAGTAGTTGCGATCATATTCTTTTCTAATTAGTTTCGATTTTTCAGAATCTTTCCTTTCTTTTAGTTTTTCTTTATTATTTTCTCGATAATTTCGATCATATTCTTTCTTCTTTATAATTTTTTCTGCCAAACTATTATCACTCTTGTACATTTTAGTAATTTTTGGTTTTAATATTTTTTTATATTTTTGATTTTGAGGAGCAACAGACGATTCAGCGCCATCATTAAATATTTTATTTAAATCCTTTGAGGTTTCCTCAACTCTATTCAATTCGTTTTGATTTTTATTGTTTTTAACAGAATTAATTAAACTCCATAATATTGAATTGAAGATTAAAAATATTAAAATATTAATTAATTTCATTCTTAATTAATATAAAAAAATTTAAAATTAATTTTTATTAATTGACGTTAACTAATATAGTTAAAATAAAATGAGATAATAATGTAAATATAAATATAATAATTAGAGCTAGGATTTTTAGGCACGATAGCAATTTGGTGGAGAAAGTTAAAATAGGCAATTTTAGGCAATGATAAAAATAGTTTGAAAGCAGATATCATAGAAATAATGCCTGCTTTAGACGTTTCAGCATCAGGCCTATTTAGGAAAAAACAGGCATTTTGCCTAAAATCCTACATAGCTCCTATAATAATAATAATAAATAAATAATAAATACAAATAATATAATAAAAATTCACTTATATAAATAAAATGAATATAGATAAAAACACCCGGTGTATTTAGACATATATTTTGTAATAATGTACTTTTTTATGATTATATGAAAAAGGTCAATATTGCTAAATATCGTGTAAACAAATTTATTAAAGCCGACAGATTATGAAATCTCAAAGGGCATTCTCACAAACATTAAAGAAAATCTTTAAAATTAAAAAAATTAAAATTTATCATTGTCAAAAGAAACTGAAGTAAAAATCGGAATTCAAGGTAAATTATCGAATTAGAGCTGCTATATGTATTGTTAACTTAAGGATTCATGAGATTTTGGTGATTATGAGGGATATCAAGGTTTTTTGTGGACTAGGATGACATCAAGTGAGGATAAATTATATTATATATCGGAGGATAAATTATTTTCAAAATCATCCGCCTGTGGATTGACTAATGAAGTTTCTTCAGCATTATCATTTCCTTCCACATTATGAGAAGATTGAATAGGAATTTCTTCTCCTTCTTCAGCATTATTATTCACATCCACATCTTCTCCTTTTTCTAACTGGATATTCTCTTTGGAAACAATCGGTTCCTTCTCCTTACTTTCACAAGTATTAGGTAATAAATTTCCTTCGTTAGATTGAACATTTATTAATTTTGAATTAATATCTCGCATAATTTCCATTTTATTTTTTCGTAAATTTTCTAAATTTTCTTTTATACGCCGTCTGTATTTTCGTTTATCTTCACATATCTTTTCCTTATTTTTTTGATATCTCTCTTTATTATATTCTTTTTGCCTTAGCCTTCTTTCGTCTACATCAATATTATTTCTAATTTATTTTTTCGTAAATCCTCTAAATTTTCTTTCATACGTCGGTGGTAATTTCGTTTATCTGCACATATCTTTTCCTTATTTTTCTGATAGTAATTTTTATAATATTCTTTTTTCTTTAACTTTTTTTCGTCTTCATCAACTTTAGGTTCATTTTTGGAAGTTGTCTTTAACTTTTCTTTATATTTTTTATTTTGGCGAGAAGCCGATGGTTCAGCCCCATCATTGAATATTTTAGTTAAATTATCTAAGGCTTTTGACGAATCATTATTCTGTGGAAGCACAAAAGAAGTTCCTTCATTAATTTCCGATTGAATGTTTCTTAATTTTGAAATTTCATTTTTTAAATTTTCCTTCTCATTTTTCTTTTTTTCTCGGTACTCCCGAGAATATTCTCTCCTCTTTTCTATATTCTTATAGTAGTAATTTCGATCAAATTCTTTTTTAAGTTGTTTATAATTTTCAGAATTTTTCTTTTCTTCTCGGTACTTTCGAGCATATTCTCTTTTCTTTTCTTTATTCTTTTGGTAATAGTCTTTGAGATATTCCTTTCTCTTTATCATTTTTTCTGACAACTTATTGTCATTCTTGTACATTTTAGTAATTTTTGATTTTGGTTTTAACTTTCCTTCATATTTTTGAAGTTGAGAAGCAACCGATGATTCAGCCCCATCATTTAATATTTTATTTAAACCCTTCGAGCTTTCCTCAACTGTAATCAACTCGTTTTGATTTTTATTATTTTTAACAGAATTAATAAAACTCCATAATATTGAATTGAAGATTAAAAATATTAAAATATTAATATATTTCATTCTTAATTAATATAAAAAAATTTCTAAATTAATTTTTATTAATTGACGTTAAATAATATAGTTAAAATAAAATGAGATAATAATGTAAATATAAATAAATATAATTAGAGCTAGGATTTTTAGTCACGATAGGCATTTTGGTGGAGAAAGTTAAAATAGGCAATTTTAGGCAATGATAAAAATAGTTTGAAAGCAGGAATGTTGTGACTTATAGGGGGTTTTTTTTGGCTGGACCGATTTGGACAAATGAGGTGTCATTCGAAAGAGCTCGCCGAGCTGAGTCGATTGAGGGGCGAGTGGAGTCGATCCGACAACCAGGGACCGAGATACAGACCCCTGAAGTTTGAAAAAGAGAAGGGGGGAGTAAGCTCATTTTTGGGTGAAAAATTCGAAAATGCAAATAATAGCTCATTCGACTCAGCTCGTCGAGCTGAGTCGAATGACACCAAAATCAGCTCGATATCTTGATTCTGAGCCAAGATAAACATGTTCAAAATGGTCAACATAAACCTATGGAGCGTCGGCGAGGCGCTTGTGCGAAACCCCGCGCTTCGCGCGGGGTTTCGCGGCACGCGCCTCGCGGGGAGTCAACGGTCGCTGGGTCTGGGTCAGTAACATAACCCTGTTCCTATCTCACTTACTCTGGACGTACTTGGGGGCCTCTGTAGCAGCAAAAACCTCAACAATGACCATAGGTAAGGAGCGAAAACAAACGATCATAACTTTGTCAAATCACGTCGGATCTCGGTGATTTTGGTGTCATTCGACTCAGCTCGACGAGCTGAGTCGAATGAGCTATTATTTGCATTTTCGAATTTTTCACCCCAAAATGAGCTTACTCCCCCCTTCTCTTTTTCAAACTTCAGGGGTCTGTATCTCGGTCCCTGATTGTCGGATCGACTCCACTCGCCCCTCAATCGACTCAGCTCGGCGAGCTCTTTCGAATGACACCTCATTTGTCCAAATCGGTCTAGCCAAAAAAAACCCCCTATAAGTCACAATACCCGAAAGCAGAAATACCTGTTTTTTCCTATTTAGGAAAAAACAGGTATTTTGCCTAAAATCCTATATAGCTCCTATAATATTAATAAAAAATAAATAATAAATAAAAATAATAAAATATAAATTCACTCATATAAATAAAATGAATATAGATAAAAACACCCAGTGTATTTTGACATATATTTTTAATAATTGCACTTTTCATGATTATATGTAAAAGGTCAATATTGCTAAATATCGTGTAAACAACTTTATTAAAGCCGACAGATTATGAAATCTCAAAGGGCATTTTCACAAACATTAAAGAAAATCTTTAAAATTAAAAAAATTTAAACTTATAATTGTCAAAAGAAACTGAAGTAAACATTGGAATTCAAGGTATATTATCGAATTAGAGCTGCTATATGTATTGTTAACTTAAGGATTCATGAGATTTAGGTGATTTTGAGGGATATCAAGGTTTTTTGGGGACTAGGATGACATCAAGCGATATCCCTCTTAATCTCTAGGTTTCAACTTCCGTTTTGGTCTCGGTCTCGGGGTTGATTCTCGGTCTCGACTCTCGGCGTTTTTTGACTCTCGAACATCACTAATATTTGTTCTTTAGAGTAATTGGCGGATCCGGAAAAAGACCGGTTATCCGGAAATCTATGGTTCGGATACCGGATACGGATATCCATAAATTTCGGATCCGAAAATTGTCAGGATCAAACAAACCTACTTCAGTGCTATAAATTTTAATTTTTAATATTTTCTATAATGTTTGTAAAAACATCCTTTGAGATTTCATAATTTGTCGGCTTTAATAAATATGTTTACACGATATTTAGCAATATTGCCCTTTTACATATAATCATGAAAAAGTGCAATTATTACAAAATATATGTCAAAATACACCGGGTGCTTTTAACTATATTCATTTTATTTATATCTCCTTAGAGTGCCGAAACATGTTTAAAATATAATGAAAAGCAAAATTAATTTAAAAAAACGAAACGCTAAAAGCAAAGCTGGCATAACTCTGATTCAGAAATCGCATACCGTATATCCTTTAATAACTACCCTGGGTTTGCTTCGACCTTCCGCTGGGGAGAGTAATTAATCGAGGGAGGGTAATTATACGAATTTTGAAATACCGATACCGAAAAATCGCGTTTGCCTAACACTAGACTAAAGCAATAAAATTTATTCAACTAAAATTTTTTTGTGTAGTGAACAGTGATAGGATGGTTCCAAAACTTTTCTGGAATCGGTTCCAGTTCTGGAACCGATTTTTTAATTTTGCCGGTTCCAGTCCCGGTTCTGGAACCTTTTCCAAACCGGTTCCAGTTCCAAAATTTTTTAGGCTATTTTAATGAAAAAAATTATTTTTTTTTCATAGATAAGGGGTAAATTAAAAATTTATCAACTTTTAAGATGTATAAATAATAGTGTTTGTAGGTTTCACCAAATTCGCCAGTTAACCAAAGCGAACTGACAAACCGAACTGAAGCTTTCAGTCAATCGAAACCGAATTGAGAAACCGAACCGAAGCAGTAGCATAAGGAGGGATAAAGAGACTGGAACTGGAACTTTACCATCAAAGGTAGTTAAGTCATTATTGTTGTGTAGTGAAGTCACAATATATTCATTTTTTCTTCGAATTTTCCAAACCGAAAATCGGTATTACAGCGGTACTGGAAAGCTTTCGTTAGTACCGCGGTAGTACTGATAAGTGTTTGTAAAAATTATTACGAGAAGCCTTAGACTTTGTAGTTAATATATTTCATTTAATTCAAATTAGAAGACAGATTAAGAAAAGGAAGAAAAATATTTGAAAATTTAACAGAGAATAGAAAGATTTTGTTTTGTTTTGAAAGTTAAAAAATTCATTTTATTATAGGAAATTCTGATTATCCAAAAAATTTAGATCATACAAAAAATTAAGATAATCCACATCATTCATGTAATTCTCTTGGTTAAGATGCTCAATATGAACATTTTCTTGTTCATATGCGCAAGTCATTGAATTATCTTTACTTTGAACATTCTGCGGATTAACTGGATGTGCTGGATTTCCCTCATCATTATCAGATGGCTGAATTGAATTATCAATTTGTAAATGAATATTTCCTTGATCTAACTGAACGTCCTCTTTTGTAGGTTCTTTTCCTTTACATTCATAATCATTCCTCTGTTGATTAACAAACGAAGTTGCTTCTGCATTTACAATTCCTTCCTCATTATGAGAAGATTGAATAGGCGTATCTTCTCCTTTTTCTAACTGGATATTCTCTTTGGAAACAATCGGTTCCTTTTCTTTACTTTCACATTCATTATTTTGTGTATTAGGTATTCCTTCATTAGTTTGAATATTTATTAATTTTGAATTAATATTTTGCTCAATTTCTGATTTATTTTTTCGTAAATTTTCTAAATTTTCTTTCATACGTCGGTTGTAATTTCGTTTATATTCACATATCTTTTCCTTATTCTTCTGATATCTCTCTTTATCATATTCTTTTTTCCATAACTTTTTTTCGTCTTCATTATTCCTATTTGTAGTTTTGGAAGTTTTCTTTGGCTCACCTTCATATTTCTTACTTTGTCGAGAAAATGATGATTCAGCTCCATCATTTAATATTTTAGTTAAATTATCTGATGCTTTTGAAGAATCATTGTTTTCAGGATTAACAAAAGAAGTTCCTTCATTAATTTCCGATTGAATGTTTTTTAATTTTGAAATTTCATTTTTTAAATTTTCCTTCTCATTTTTCTTTTTTTCTCGGTACTTTCGAACAGATTCTCTCCTCTTTTCTTTATTCTTTTGGTAGTATTCTAGTTTCTTTTCTTTATTCTTATAGTAGTAGTTTCGATCATGTTCTTTTCTAATTTGTTTATAATTTGCTGAATTTCTCCTTTCTTTTACTTTTTCTTTATTATTTTCTCGATAATTTCGGAGATATTCTTTTTTCCTAATCTTTTCTTCTGCCAAATTATTGTCATTCTTGTACATTTTAGCAATTTTTGGATTTGGTTTTAACGTTCCTTCATATTTTTGAATTTGAGGAGCAACCGATGATTCAGCCCCATCATTTAATATTTTATTTAAACCCTTTGAAGTTTCCTCAACTCCCTTTAACTCGTTTTGATTTTTATTATTTTTAACAGAATTAATTAAACTCCATAATATCGAATTGAAAATTAAAAATATTAAAATATTAATATATTTTATTCTTAATTAATATAAAAATTTTTTCTCTTAAATTATCTTTTATTAATTGACGTTAAATAATATTGTTAAAATAAATGAGATAATAATGTAAATATAAATAAATATAATTAGTGCTAGGATTTTTAGGCACGATAGCATTTTGGTGGAGAAAGTTAAAATAGGCAATTTTAGGCAACGATAAAATTAGTTTGAAAGCAGATATCATAGAAATAACGCCTGCTTTAGACGTTTCAGCATCAGGCCTATTTAGAAAAAAAGGCATTTTGCCTAAAATCCTAGCTCCATAATAATAATAATAAATATAAATAATAAATACAAATAATATAATAAAAATTTTCTTATATAAATAAAATAAATATAGGTAAAAACACCCGATGTATTTAGACATATTTTGTAATAATGTACTTTTTCATGATTGTATGTAAAAGGTCAATATTAAACAAATTTATTAAAGCCGACAAATTATGAAATCTCAAAGGGCATTCTCACAAACATTAAAGAAAATCTTTAAAATTAAAAAAATTAAAATTTATAATTGTCAAAAGAAACTGAAGTAAAACTTGGAATTCAAGGTATATTATCGAATTAGAGCTGCTATATGTATTGTTAACTTAAGGATTCATGAGATTTTGGTGATTATGAGGGATATCAAGGTTTTTTGGGGACAAGAATGACATAAAATGATATCCCTCTTAATCTCTCGGTCTCGACTTCCGTTTTGGTCTCGGTCTCGGGGTTGATTCTCGGTCTCGTCTCGACTCTCGGCTTATTTTGACTCTCGAACATCACTAATATTTGTGCTTTAGAGTAATTGGCGGATCCGGAAAAAACCGGTTATCCGCAAATCTATGGTTCGGATACCGGATACGGATATCCATAAATTTCGGATCCGAAAATTGTCAGGATCAAACAAACCTACTTCAGAGCTATAAATTTTAATTTTTAATATTTTCTATAATGTTTGTAAAAAATCCTTTGAAATTTCATAATTTGTCGGCTTTAATAAATAAGTTTACACGATATTTAGCAATATTGCCCTTTTACATATAATCATAAAAAAGTACATTATTACAAAATATATGTCAAAATACACCGGGTGCTTTTAACTATATTCATTTTATTTATATAGGTAAATTTATTTATTATTATTATATTTTTTATTATTTATTTTCTATTATTTATATTATATTTTCGAATTTTAAATTATCTTTATTATTCAGCGTTAATTAATAAAAATTTATTACATAATATAATTTTTTATATTAATTTAGAATGAAATTTATTAATGTTTTAGTCTTTTTAATTTTCAATTCGATTTTATGGAGTTTAATTAATTCTGTTAAAAATAATAAAAATCAAAACGGTTTAGCTAGAATTAAGGAACCCTCAAAGGATTTAAATAAAAATTTATATAATGACGCTGAATCATCGGTTGCTCCCCAAATTGATGAATACAATAAAGAAACTCTGAAACCAAATACCAAAATTACAAAAAAGCACAAAACTGAAAATAAAGAAGAAAAAAAGTCGAAACGAAACGAATATATGAAAGATTACTACCGGCAACACAAAAAGGAGAGAAAAGATTATAATCGAAATTATCATCAAAATAATAAAGAAAAGATTCGCGAAATTAAACGAAAATACCGTCTAAAGAAGAAAAATGAACGTGAAATCCTAGATAAGGATATGTCAGAATTGGGAAACATAAAGAATAATAATGAAGGAACTTCTTTTGTTACTCCACAAAACGATGATTTTATTAGAAAGGAAACGACGGGAAATAATGAGAACGAAAAAAAGTTCAATAGAACAGAATATAAGAAAAATTACGATCAAAAGAACAAAGAAAAAATAAGAGAATATAACAGAAATTATCATTTAAAAAGAAAAAATAAAAAAGGAAATTCACAGAATGATACTATTAATAAAGGTAAATCACCTATTGAATGTAACGAGAATGTTCGGGTAAATAATAAAGAAGGTAATGAAAATGCTGAAAGAACTTCATTCGTTAATCCACTGCCGGATGATTGTGAAAATAATTTAGCTGACACAAATGCTTGCCCTTATGAACAACCAAATGTTCAACTGCCTGACAGCCTTCATATTCAACAAATGGATAATCATGATGATTTAATAGATCTGAGTTTTTTGGATGATTCGGATTTTTTGAATTATATAAATTCTTTTCCTAATATCTAAACACATTTCAGATAAACAAGTGGATGAATTATCGAAAATTTGATCATTAATCAACTCAAACATAATCATTAGAGTTAGGATTTTTAGGCACTAAAAAATTAAAAATAGGTGCCTATATAGTAGAGATGTGCGAGACCGAAATTTTTCCAAGACTCAAGACCCAAGACAAAATTTTTTCCAAGACCAAGACACAAGACCAAGACCAAAACTCCAAGACTCAAGACCAAAAATCAAGACAAATTTTTAAATCCCATAGGTCAAATTTTTGGTTTATTTTTTGTTATTTTGATACGATCACAGTCAACTTCAGCACAATTATCTATAATTTCGAAAAATTTATGCGAAATTCAAAGAATTTCGGGGAATTTATTCTGTGGAAACTCAATAAAATATATTATTTCAGAGGGTTTGGGTAAATTAACGGGATATTAGTGATATCAAAAGATTAAGAGGGATAGCCGTGGGATTTAGCGCCGCAAGCGAAAATTTTGGGAATTATGAAAGCAAAGAAGCCAAAAATCTTCCTTTTCCAGCGCCGCAGGCAAAAATTTTGAAAGGCCGTAGGCCAAAAAATTCATTTTCAGCGCCGCAGGCGAAAATTTTTTGAATTTTGGAGCTCAAGAAGCCAGATTCTTCCATTTTCTACACCGCAGGCGAAAATTTTGAGGATTTTGGATGGCCAAGCACTAGGTCCAAAAAGGCCAAAAAACCAAGACCAAAAAATAAAACCAAGACAAACACCCCAAGACCAAGACCGAAAAAAAACCAAGAAAAGTCTTGGTTCCAAGACCAAGACCAAGAGTCTCGCACATCTCTACTATATAGGCACTAAAAACTGCCAAAATAGGCACTAAAATCCGAAAAAAGGCAAAATATGCAGGATTTTTTTCGAGATTTTCTATTTAAATTTACTAAATTTATCAAAATTGATAAATCTAAACAATAAAATGTTAAATAAATTAATTTTGACGAACAGAGTTACGTTTAGATTAATTTACAATAATTATTCTGCTTCCAAAAATTTGATAAATTTTTCGAAAGGCAAAATAGAGCATTTTGCCAAAAAAGTTAAAATAGACAAATTTAGATAACGATAAAATTAGTTGAAAGAAGATTTCAGTAAAATAACACCTGATTTGGACGTTAAAGCATCTGGCCTATCTAGGGAAAAAACAGGCATTTGCCTAAAAATCCTAACTCTAATAATCATGTTCATTCATATTTTGATTTTTAAATTAAAAAATGATAGCATTTAATAAAATAAAATCATATTTATTCACGTTGTTGGGTGTATGTACTTAAGTATCGAATTCTTCCACTTTTTATAAAATCAACAGTCATGCCTACTTCCTTAAATAAGTCATTCTTGTACATTTTATTAATTTTTGGTTTTGGTTTTAACGTTCCTTCATATTTTTGATTTTGAGGAGCAACAGATGATTCAGCCCCATCATTAAATATTTTATTTAAATCCTTTGAGGTTTCCTCAACTCTATTCAATTCGTTTTGATTCTTATTATTTTTAACAGAATTAATTAAACTCCATAATATTGAATTGAAGATTAAAAATATTAAAATATTAATATATTTCATTCTTAATTAATATAAAAATTTTTTCTAATAATTTAATTTCTATTAATTGACGTTAAATAAAGCAGTTAAAATAAAATGAGATAATAATGTAAATATAAATAAATATAAATAAATATAATTAGAGCTAGGATTTTTAGGCACAATAGGCATTTTGGTGGAGAAAGTTAAAATAGGCAATTTTAGGCAACGATAAAATTAGTTTGAAAGCAGATATCATAGAAATAACGCCTGCTTTAGACGTTTCAGCATCAGGCCTATTTAGTAAAAAACAGACATTTTGCCTAAAATCCTACATAGCTCCTATAATAATAATAAAAAATAAATAATAAATACAAATAAGTTCACTTATATAAATAAAATGATTATAGGTAAAAACATTTTGTAATAATGTACTTTTTTATGATTATATGAATAAGGGCAATATTGCTCAATATCGTGTAAACATATTTATTAAAGCCGACAGACTATGAAATCTCAAAGGGCATTCTCACAAAAATTAAAGAAAATCTTTAAAATTAAAAAAATTAAAATTTATCATTGTCAAAAGAAACTGAAGTAAAAATTGGAATTCAAGGTAAATTATCGAAGTAGAGCCGCTATA